CTTTCCACTGAGTTTGCATTTGATGTATGGAGACTTCACTTCCAAGAGTCTTATTTTTTCTTCACAATCTCCATTTCTTTGTTCAATTTCTCACTTAAATTGCTGAATTTTTCATCCAAGTCTTGAATTGACCTCGTTACTTCATTTGTGTTTATTTTGATCCTCTTCAATGGCAGTAATAATTTATAAAACTAAGCTTTTGAATTCTTTAGCATTTCCCTATCTGTGGATTCAAATCTTGAAGTGTTAGGAACTTCTGGAAGCATCCCTGACTCACTTTTACATTTTTGTATTTTTTGTTTGTTTTTGAGAGGTCTCACTATGTAGCTCAGATGGCCTCAAGCTCATGATCCTCCTATCTTATTTATGTGAGTGCTGGGATTATAGCTGTGTGGTACCACACCTGACCTGTGTTTCTATGTTGTAATCTGTGCCTTTGTTAGGATGAGTGGATCTTCCTGCTTCATACAGGATCTTCTTAGTGAGCAGCCTTCTCTTGAGAGGACTGAAACCTTAGTACCATGCAAGAAAACAAAATGCTGTACAAGCAACATCACCCCGATAAACAAGATAGAACTACAAGAAAACAAAGACAACAGTACCTCCAACAACAACAAAGTGGCAAAAACATTGCAGAATAAATTGTTAAGTTAAAAATAAGGAAAGGCAAAGTAAAAGAATGAAATAAGACAGGGGGCAGTGAAAGGGGAAAAAGGATCAGGAAGGCTAAATAAAGGGAAAAGGATAAAGAAAAAATGTGTGGGGAGTGTAGAGATAAATTCTGCTTACAAAACAAAAATTATGTAAATAAAACTAGATAATAAACCCAAAGATTTTTTAGAAAGTGTCAAACACATAACCAAGAGATTAAAAGTTAAAAACATAAAGATGAAGAAGGGGAGAAACCTCTTTTGGGATCTTCTAATACTGGAATCAGCAGGTTTGTCTGGGGACAGTGGACTGCAGCTGGAGTCTACTGTAGTTCCTGTTTCCACCATTCAGACTGGCACTAGCCTGTCAAGGTTATATGGTCAGCATCTGGGTTGCATTCCCTTCTAAAGTTTTCGTTCTCTGGATTCTGGTGAACTACTATTAGTCACAATTTTTGTGAACTGTGGGCAGGGCAGGTTCCTGCTCACTCCTGAGGACATACAGTTTGTACATGAGGTAGCAACCCGAGTCCATCTGAGAGTAGAGAAAGCAAACAACACAGAGCTCTGCACTGGAGTGGGAAACTTGGGAGAACTGGCATGTTTTGTCTGCTAGTCTCAGAGCTTTCGAACCCTTCCCAGTAAGAAATTGCCCTGTGGGACAAAGGAGGCTATTGGAATCAGTGGTCAGTGGACCTAAGCTCAGAGCTCTAAATGCACACATGGAAAAGAGGTAAATTTGGAGATAAAGTAATTGTCAGCTATAGGCTTAAAGCTAGCTCTCAATCTCATTACCCACAGGTAATAGAGCTTACTCCTCCCCAGAACGCAGAGCCCCTGACCACTGTGTTTTCTACATACCTCTCCCTGCTACCCAAACTCTGTGGGTCCATGTCTGACCTATTTCTCTTGTGACTATCTTTCATGGTCATCTTCCACCCAGACACTGGTAGAGTGTTCCCAAGACTGCCCCATTTATGATTGACCCTCATTTTTAAGTCCCCAGAGTAGCTCAGACTTAAAAAACAGAACCACTGTCAAGGATGGCACCTGGGCCTGGTGCTGAGCTGTGGGGAGCAATGCCATGGATTCCCCTTCCATCACTAGCTACCACTCTGGACTCACAGTTACACTGAAAACATGTTCTGAGTTTAAGGCTTGAAAGAATTCTGGGGTTCTCCTGGGGCTGCTATTCTCTTGTCACCAGTGTCACCTGATTTACCTAGTGGTTATAGCTTTGGGTTTCCCTCCCCACAGGGAACCCAGGTTGGAGCTATGGAATGTGCCTGCTTCTTCATGCTTCTTAGCCGTCCTGTTGCCCCCCCCCCCGCGAATATAGTTTTGTTTTATTGCTCTGACTCATTTCAAGAAGTCACACAAGAGAAACTTGTAATCCAGAAGTCCCCCCCATTGGCAACTTGTTATGTCTTATGTGCATTTGTTTTGTTCTCCCACCCAACTATAAGCTCTCCCCATCAACAAATGGATACTTCTACCTGGCAGTTAGTCTCTAATAAACGCTTGCCCAGAAAATGAGTCTTTGGGAAACAAGCTTTGGCTATTCCATGTGTACAAATTAGCAGCCTTCTATTTTTAATTATATGATCCTACGAGATCAAAGAGAATTTATTCCCTGAAGCATATACTTAAACTACCAGTACTTATTGGTGAAGTCTGCAGTTGCAGGCAGTGCAGACCATGCCCAAAGTCACAACAAAGACTTTCTAAGTTGAGTGCAGAAGGCAGCCATCATACACAACACTAAGATACCATATAAGTCTACCTTGCTGAAATCTATGTGCTTCTAAAGAGAGCTTGTGCTTTGGATCCAGCAAACAGCCAACATCTGCAGTAATAAAGTCCTACTACACACTTTCTGCCCCTGGTAATGACCTCGGTGAATACGGCTCATGGAAGGCCCATCTCTGTAAAATATATTCTAAATGATTGTGTTGGAAGGAAGCTGTTGTTCCCTCCTTGAGAGCTTGTAATCCGTATTATAAAAGAGCCTCATCTTATTGAACTCAACACTCTGTGCTGATGGTGTTGCCTCATTATCAGAGGAATTTGAAAGGACTCTTCCTTTCAAGATTACTGCAACCATCAAAGGTGCTCTTAGTTTGCCCACCAGCAGGAAAATCCTGATAGCTATAATTGAGTCTCAGGGCATTCTTTTCAGTGTGGCTATTTTTGGCGGGTAAAGAATTTTAGGATATAAAGACTTTACAAATAGCTCCCACTGATGGTTAAGCTGAGGACCTCTTCTATACACCAACTTTAACAAAAGAGATACTAAAGAAGTGAGCAGTGTCCATAATTACCATGTTGGTGACAAACTAAACAAACACTGAAAAAAAGCCAAACCAACCAACCAACCAAACAAAAAAACCCTGCACTGTGGGAAGGCCTACTATTATACACAATTTTTCTATCTTCTGTGAAGTTCCAGGCACTTAGGCGCCTTAGGAAAATCAGAGCCATAAAAATCGGAGTCATAGAAAAGGAACCAACTGAAAACTGAAGGGAACAGGATAGTTGAACCTACATGATCCACCCAGAAGCATGTATCATTGTTCACTAATGGCTTAGATTTTTTTAACCTAATATGACTTGACAGTAGGTCTAACTCCACATAGGTATCTACCTTCAAAAGTTATGCTCTGATCACTCTGATCCAGGGGGCAGACCAGTCCTGAACCAGAATTAGTGCAGCTCTCAGACCTCATCAGAGAAGTTTCTTTGTGCAGTGGATGGTGGTTAACACAGAAATTCACAACTGGTCAAAGTGCAGAAACAGTGACTGTAGCAGCCTCAGCCACAAATGGACATCTGTATGGCACCTCCTTTCCAAGGCTCGGGTCGTCTTGGAAGATGGAATGGAAAGATTGTAGGAATCAGAGTTTGGGGAGGATGGGAATAAAACAGCACCTTCTGGATATGACAGGTCCACTACACTCATGAACCCACAGCAGCTGTGGCTGCCTGCACAGGATAAGCCAGTCAGCATTCTAGCATGGCATGGAAAGGAGTTTATGAGCCCCATCCCTGGGAGCTTCTGGGGGAGGGTCAGTTTTAAGGGTATGGCCCCTGATAAGTTGTATCCATTCCAGTGGATAGCCCCACCTGTTCCCACCTGTTCCCAGAGTATTTGAACAGCACAAACTAGGCTCAATAACTTGGTTATTAAATAAAAGGAGGGTATGAAGTTAGGGGAGGGTAAAGGAAGTGAGGTGGACCTGAGTTGTTTATGGGAGGTGTTGGAGGTAAATATGAGCAAAATACATTGTATGAAGTTCTCAAGGATTTAAAAAAATTTTTAAAGTTATACTCTGAGACCAACTTTCCATTTTCAGAGCATAACATCTTGGTTTCACGTTCCAAAATAAGTTCCATTATACTTGTTACCTAGCACGACCACATGATTTGATTTTATAATTAAAACAAAAGGTTCTCATTCCTTTTTTTTTTTTTTTTTGGTCTTTTTGAGACAGGGTCTCCCTGTAGCCCAGCTGTCCTGGAACTCACTATGTAGACCAGGCTGTCCTTGAACTCACAGATATCTGCCTGCCTCTGCCTCCCGAGTGCTGGGATTAAAGGCATGTGCCACCACGCCCGGCCCATCTCATTCCTATATTAATGGAGATGACCTATCTTTTTGAACATAAACAAGAAGGAAAATGGTAACTGATTACTGGTAGTAGTGTCACTTACTGAGGGTCCTTCAGTTTGTGAGATGTGTGCTAAGCAGTTTGCACTTACTCTAATCAACTCTGTGAGGTATGCCCCTTCACAGGTGAGGAAGGCAGCTCCAAGAGACTAAGGAACCTGTCTGTCTGGGTATCATACCATTAGGAAGTGAAGAAACTCTCTGAGGAATTTGCTTTATTACCAGGCTTCTACACTATAGCATGCTGCTCAAGTTTTCATGTGCACACAAATTAGCTAAGGATTTTGCTAAAGGCACTTCTAACTCAAGAAGTTTAGAGTCTGAGATTCTACATTTTTTTGAGGGGGGTTTCTTTTTGAGACAGGGTCTCCCTGTTGCCCCAGCTGGCCTGGAACTATGTAGATCAAGTTGGCCTTGAACTCACAGAGATCTGCCTGCCTCTGCCTCCCTGGTATTAAAGATGTGTGCCACCACACACGGTGAGATTCTATATTTTCATACAGTGAGATTCTGTATTTCTAATAAGCTTCTACAATAATGAGGCAGCTAGTCTATGGATCACACTTTGGATGGCAGGTACTTTTCCACAGCTCCTTTTTTTGGAATCAGGAACTCTTGATTACTTGACCCTGATCCATTTGAGACCACATGGAGACAAAGAAGATATCAATCCAGAAGCGAAACTGGTTATGGAACGCATACATTTCCATGTATTTTTACAGTAAAAATGCATTAAAAAATCTTTCACAAAAGAAACTTAAAAAATACTAGTAGGCTATTGAGACCCATCCCCCCAAACATTCCTTCAGGCATCAGTTGTGTAATGGAGGGTTTGATTTAATCATAGGAAATATTCACCTACCATCTTTCATGAACACTTTTACATGAAGTGGAGGGTCATGGAAAGTAGGCTCACAAGAATCAGTTTCCAATGTAAGGTTACAGTAGTTTGAAGAAGATCTATTTTTCTGCTTAACATATAGTCCCTGGACAGTACAATACTTTCAAACCAAATCTGATGTATGGAATTAAGCTGACATTGCCACACCAGAAGTCCTGAGACTGGCTGGCTCTGGTGGGTAGCACTGATTGTAAAATGCCAAATATCACTTCTTACAACAAGAAAGGCATCAAGACATTAAGTTCAGGAAGCACTCCAAAAATCTACCTTGATTTCACTTGTTTTAAAACCCTTCGATTATGATTGTATCAGCCACTAACATCACAACTTGTGTTGGTAGCGAGAAAAATCCTAATAGAAGAGCCTTAAGAGTAACAGTTCCAAGCTGACTCTTAGGAAATGGATGAAATAAACATAGCTATTCAGTTGCCCTCTTCCTAGCCTTAATACTCTAAGCTCAACGTATGCTTTACGTGGAAAGCTCAGATAATCAAAATAGCAATCACAGACTGTCCCCCCTTGTAGCTACATAATGTATACTGTGTCTACTCCAGGAAAAGAACTTGTTTTATAAATGTCCACTTAACTATAGCTACTGATTGTAATGTTATATATAAACCCATAAGTCGAATAAAGCTATGAACAATGTAATATTTATATATGCATAGTGTTTTATAAAAAGATTGGCCCGCAGACTGCTTTTCAACACAGAAGGAGCTTTCAGTGTATAGCACACTGCCAGAAACAAACAAGTGAAGAGAGGGGCAGGAAATGCAAAGAATGCTTAGTTATTCACAAGCAGGTTCTCCGTGGAGGAAATGTGAGTCCCAACCAATTAGACCTTTAGAGAATTACTTATATACTCTCCCATTTTAAAACAACTTTACATACCTGATTTAGTTTACATTAAAATATATCCCAAAAATCAATTTGCTCATATTCAGAAATAAACACATATCACATTCCTAAATTTTTGTCATAAATTCTCTTTTATACAAGAAAGAAAGGCAACAGTTGTTTTTTTTTTTTTTTTCCAAACAGGTTCTATTAATTACAATTTTAAACTCTGTACAATGATTGGCTGGTTTTTCTTTTTTTTTTTTTCCTTTTTTTTTTCTTCCTAATACAGTACCATGGGAACAACAGTGATTGACTTGCAAAGTTTTGTGTCTGTATGGAAAATGCAAAACAGTACTACAGAAATATACAATGCACTGTAAGCAGCGGTTTGCTGTAGTGGTCCAACAGGAACAAGCAAACATTTTGGCTCAGCTAGGCAGTAATCCATTTAAATCACACCTTGGGGCTACAGCCGACCCAACCACACCTCCTGAGGGTTCAGGAATAAAAAGGGTCTTCTTAAAAAGAAAAATCATTAAGTTTTATTCTGCTATCCCCAAACACAAAGGACAAAGGACAGAGTCATAAGGGTAGAGGTTTCCCAAACAGATCTAGAACCACTGGGATCATCACTTCCTTCCTTCCTTTCCCCTTCAATCAATCTTAAGACTTTGAGAATGGTTTCAAAGTGCATAATCAACAGTTCTAGGAACAAGCAGCCCCAATTCTCACTGTTTCAACATTATGAGAGTTTGTTCCACTAAAATTCATCCCTCTGCTCCATTCTGGCAGAAGGCAACCATGGGCTTATGCTAAGTAGTATGTGGGGGCATTTTTCCATATTGGGGACATTTACAGCTCCCTCATTCCAGGCACCATGTCCTACATTCCATCTACTGTTCAGCTTTGTATCAGACCAGACAACACAGAAGGTGTTTATTGTCTGTTCTTTCTAGTAGTTGAGCGAAGCTGTAATGGCACTGCCTTAAGTGAGATCTTATTCCACGGTGGAGATGCTGATGAACCTGACCATCTGTGCTAAGGCTGTATTTGGGTAAGGGCAGCCAACTTTCTTATTTCTGTGCCTTCCTGGGCCAGGGAGAGTACAAACCGTTTTTTGAACGAACTATAACTCAAGAACATAGAACTTCTGTGCTGCTCAGTTTAGTTATAAATATCCTTCATTTGCAATAGTAGTCTCATCTTACAGTTTGCTTAGTTTTAGGATTATTGGCAATCCTAATCCATCGCCAAAGGTCCTCAGTTTTTACAAGTAGAAGTTGACTTTTTTGCTCTCTGCTTTTAAGAAAAACTCCTGTGTACAGTACAGCACTACATCACTAAATAACAGTTTATATCAAGTTAAATTTAATTTCCTTTACATAGAGAAAATGACCAACAGCCCCATTTAACTAGGAGAGGAAAAAGTTTGCCCCAAAGAGGGAACAATTCTCTCAGCAACTCTACAGTTTATGTAGAAACAAAATTTATATCCCTTGGGGCCAGTATTTTGGCAAATAATTTTCAAAAAAGTATGCATTTAAAAATACTTTCTTTAATATTATACACCAGGCACAAGACTTTTCATATATATTTTTTCTTATAAGATTTTAAATGCATAAAAGGTCTGTTGCTATTCATAGGACTATCAGGTGTCAGACGCTTCATTAGGTAAGAAACTAAATTATTTCAGGTTTGTGACCTTCCTCTTAGAACCTTTGACATGGTAAAGGTTGCAATGCCATTCTGAGTCTCAGATACTGAGGTCGGTGCTACACTCTTTGTAAGGTCGCCTTCTCTGCTCCGGGGGGTTTTTGGAACTTCTTCCGACTTCCAGCTTCACATTGGCCTCCTCCCTTTCTCGGTGGCCAACTTTGTCTTCTCGGTTCCTCTTGTCCAGCGACCGCTCTCGCCTGCGCTCGGGCGACCTGGCCCGCCTGCGGTCAGTGGACTTGGCTCGCCTCTCCGGTGAGCTCCCACGCCTGCGCTCTGGGGACCTTCTCTGATCCAGGAGTCTTTCCAGGGACCTCCTTCGCCGACTGGGGGAGCTGTCCCTTCTGCGGTTAGGTGAGCGCTCCCGCTTCCTCTCGGGGGAGCTCTCCCTTCTCTTCTCATGCTTTTCCCTTCTTTCCAAAGTATTGTCGGCGCTGCGGGTGCCTTCCCTGCGCTTGTCTGGGGACCTCCTCTTGGGGCCATTGGTCGCCATCCGCTCGGGCTGCACATCTCTCCGTCCCTCGGGTGGCCGGTCCTTGGGTCGGCATGCCCCACTGTCGGGTTTTCTAGAAGTTCCATTCCAGGTGTGGTGTTCATTGGGTTGTCTGCTGTGCTCCCTGCTGCCTTTTGGATCCTTCACGTGTGCCCGCTTTTCCCCATGTTGTGATGATTTGTGAAGATCGAGTGGATAACTGGACTCCAATGATGGATGTGGTCTGCGGTCCGCTGGCCCGAACCTCACTTCCGGAACACCTTGTGCACCGGTGGAGGGGCCGTTCCGGTCACTACTGGGGTCTGTCAGGACGAGAAATAAGAACAGCGGTTTGCTATGAAGGACCTGCAGCTCCTGGCCCCATTCCCTCCCACACTTGACTCATTAGTCACAACAAACAAACAAACTGTTAAAGCAGTCAGAATCAAAGCCAACTGAATCTTGGTTAATTTAAGTATAATTGCAACTAGTTAGAGTTAAAAACTAGTATTTGTGGCTTTCAACATCTAGCTGTTCCCCAGACCCTCAACATAGATCATCAGAACACTTACAGAACTAGTCATGATTTTAGCTTTTAAAGACAAAACCCAAATAGGCTGTGTAGAAGTACCAAACTTCCCCACTTTACCTATACCTTGCTTTTCCCTGGTTACCCATCAGCCCTCCACCTCTCTTCTGGGGTCAGCATGCCCCATGTCCCCTCCAATATCCTTTTATTTGAAGAATACTTGTTTTGATCTGCTTAAAATTCATCTAGAACCTGGATGGATGTGAGGGAAACTTTCTAGGGGATAGAAATAGTTGCCATCTTATAGAGATGGTGGAATAAGTGCCAGAGGACAATCCACTGAAGATTTACATATTTTATAAGATAAAAATATACTTGTACTTTAAAACAATCATTCAGGCTGTTAGGCAATGGGGATTATGGAGGCAGTGCACAGGGCAGATGCTGACCAGCGAATGTGACATGCACTTGACATTCAACTACTCTTTCTACCACTGGGGACACCATTCAAGTATTTTATATACTTTAGGGTAAATTCAAGTTTAAGGAACCATTTTTAAGAGTTTTCTGACAGATAAAAGGGAAGGAAAGAGAGGCTGTTAGGGACACATTTGAATTTAATTGGGGCTCATAAAATCCTTAAGATTAAAGATATTTTTTCCTTATGGTACAAGAAGCAGCCATAATATGTAGGAGGTGTGGAGCTACTGGACAGCTTCATATACCATTGAGGCACCTACAAATTTAAGAGCAGGGCAGTCCATGACAAGTCGTATTTATTATTAAAATATCTGGAATGACACTGCAAATGTTTTAGGTAGATCCTGAATTTATGAGAGCTGTTTGCAAGGCATGTTTTCATGACAAAACCACCAACAATTGGTGCCTAAGAGGATGTGTTGCAGTGTGAGGTACGGGGCTTTAAAAAGACCTTCTATGAGGTTACAGGGTCATTAAGTAAGGAAATAATGCTTCACAAAGGATCTCTCAAAATCCAGGGCAAGTCTTATCAAAAGCACGAATATAGCTTAGAGCAATGGTCCTCAGTTTTTTTTAAGGGCCAGAGAGTAATTATTTTGGGTCAAGTGATCCCTGTTTCAACTATTCAGCTCTGCCACTGTGGTGTAAAACCCTGGGAAACACGTAAAAGAATCGTGTGTGGCTGTGTGCCAATAAAACTTTACAAAAACAGGCTATGGTCAGGATTTGGTCCACAGGCTGGAGCTTGCCAAGAGACACTTGAACTACCAGGAAGCAAGCCTCTTCTATCCAGCAAAGCCTTATCCATCTAGGTGAGAGCACTGTGATTTGAGGCTCAGTCTTTCTAAATGCTGGATGTGCTACTAGGATAAAGACAAAAGTCATTACACATTCTGGGGAGGGAAGTATTTAGATTGCTATTGTAAATGTAACCTAGATTCTCATTCCTACTTTTAAGACAAGGAAAAGCAACACTTCAACAGGGTCAGCAGTGTACTTACAATTCAAAGAACGCAGGGTGCTCAGAATGAATTGCCAAACATATCAAAATAGAGCTAAGCAGAAGCAATGAGGAAATTAGGCCACAGCACAGAAACACCTAGTATTGATTGAGCTACAAACCGTAGTTTGATTATGGCCCATAAGGTAGAAGCAAGCCTCCCCGAGCTTTTCATTTCTCATACATGCAGCGATATTAGGAGGTATCATCGCTGTAGAAGGGAGGGCCCAGCACCAAGAACAGTCAGAGAGAAAGAGAAAGAGAGAAAGAGAAAAAGTTGAACATTTAGATTCCCTATAACAAGAAAGAAAGAAAAAAAAAATCTTCATTTGTTAACATAGGGCAAAGAGAGTTTATTCATCCAGTCAGACAGTCTAAGGCAACACTCAAATAAGGCTGCAGAGACTGCAGGTGGAACAGTGACATTTTAGACAGCCATAAGATGACTCGAAAACCCAGACAATGGATGCATCCTTTTGTATTTTTGTTTTGTGTTTTTTTTTTTTTTTTTTTTTTTTCCCCCCTGTAGCCCCAAGTCAGCCTGGAACTTGCTATGTAGACCAGTTTGGCCTCAGTCTCACAGAGATCCACCTGCCTTCACCTGTGATTAAAAGTGTGCTCACTATGTAGCCTGCTCTGGTCTTGTTTGTTTGTTTGTTTTTTTGTTTTTTTTTTTTTTTTTTTTTCTCAAACAACTGAACAATGACAGGCTGGCATAGGAGAGCATTAACAATAAACAACAGAAGAACAAAGTCCCTTCCCCGCCCCCCAAGACCGCGGCAGTTAAATTAAGTACAAAAAACTCATTACAAAAATAGCCTCACAGAGAAGCAGGTTCCAATCAAGTCAGAAAAATATTGGAACTTAACACATTATAACCCATTTGTGATTCTAATCAATAGAATTAGAGATATTTAATCCAAATGACGCATGGAAACATTACAGCAGCACAACCCTGGCATGTTCAACCCTTCTTGGAAAACCGTGTATTTCAACGATCTTTATTTTTAGCCCAAAGAACATTTGTTAGTGTTGGATTTTCATCCTCAGTGCAACAGACATAGATTTGGAGAAGATACACAGGTTACTGACGATGACTCTCAAATGAAATCACATCCAACAGAAGCATAGGGAAGACAGAAAAGGGAGACAATGTTACACAGTTTCAGTGGCATTAATACACCTAATGGTCAGAAGTTTAGCACAGTGTGCAGCCATGGCACCTGATGTTGTCATGAAGGTTCCCCTCTGGTTGGATACCCATCCTTCCCCTTACCTGGGACTCCTCATACTGTGCACCTGTATCAATGTCCAACACGTGGGAAGGCTGCCCTGCCAAGGAGCTACTCTCTTCCTCGGGCTATATCTGAACTGAGCATCTCACTGAGCCCAAAATGCAACTGGGAATTGCGCAGAAAGACTTTCAGAAAAGAGGGTAATAACAGATAAATCCCGAATAAAGGGGACCAATGTATATGGGAATCATTCAATCACAGTTTCTATAGAAACTTTTGTAGACCTTTGGTTGGGAAAAAAAGCCCTACATCTAGGGCATAGCTTCTTTTTTTTTTTGTTTTTTGTTTTTTGTTTTTAAAATTTTAAACAAGAATCTCAAATAAATAGGACATAATTATTACAATATACAATATTTTGTCATCAGAACACTAAGCTAGGTAAAGATCATTGCTGTCTACTCAAATCATGTCTAAAGATATGACAGAGGAACTCTACGTATAACCTGGCTTTCCTCACAGGAAAGGTATAGTAACATGTTTCCCTCATGATGAGCACTGGGAATCTATTTCATCCTTTATCATTTAAAAACATATGGCTAATAGAGCAACAATTTTTGTTGTTGTTTTGATAGTCTGGGCTCAGGTGGTCTGATTTGGGGTAAGAGACCAGTTGAGGGAGATAAGAATTATCATATACAGAGCATAAAGAAAGTGAGCAAAGCCCCCCAATCTCAAAATTTCACGCCTCTTAAATAAAAACATCCAATAACCAAAGGAAGAAAAAAATATATATTGTGCCTCAACATATCGCTCAGGAAACCTGCTTTCCTGCTTCTTAAAAGGAGTATATAGTCATTTTGTGCTAACAATTGGATCTGAGAAACAGTTTGGCACAGTTCAAACAAACATTCCTTCGCTCTTGGTTGGACTAGAGAAAATGTTCTGAGTATCAGAAAGGGGCTCTCAAGATCTTGTCTTAGGCCATGCCCCAGTCCATGTAAGCAAGCAAAAGGATGAAATGTGTAGATTTCAGAACAAGCGAGGCAAATAATCACATGGTGCGAGAGGCTGGTAAGACACTGGTGAATAGGGGAAACAAAAAGGACTTTCCTGCTGCCGTTCTGGAGACAAATTCATGGAGTCATGCCAGGGAAGGAAGGAATGTTTTCATAGTTTGACCCACCATATTCTGGGACTGAGCCGTCTCCTCGCCTCAGAAATAGACGAACTCTGCGGCCACCATTCTTAATCAGTTCTATGGCCCGAGAATGCTTCATGTTTTTGGTGGTCTCACCATTGATCTCTAGAATTTCATCACCAATCTGCCAAGACAAGAGAGAACAAGTGAGATGGTCACATGAGCTTTCCTTAAGGTATGGAAGTGAAAATAATAAAAGAGATCTCTACCCTCATGGAGATTGGATTCCAATGAGAGAAAGGCCATTGAAGAGAACACTATACAATACAGGCACACATATGCCACATCACATGAGGGCTAAAGCAAAGAAGTTATAGGGGGAATATGGTTCCTGAAAGGACCATAGTAGGCTGCTTCCAGGATGGTCCCCAATGACGACTGCGCTCACTGCCAGATACTTGTGTGCAATATCCTTTCCTCTGAATGTGGGTTGGAACTGGTGACTTACTTTGAACCAAAAGAATATGGCAAGCATGATAGGATGCCAGGCCAAAGACGGCAACAAAATAATTTTGGTTTCTGTCTTTCTTACCCTCGGATATTTTCTCATTTGCTCACTCCGATGCGTGTTATGAACTGCCTGCTGGGGTTGAAAGTGTTTCCCCAAAGGCCCTGTGCTGAATGAAGGCTTGGATTCTGGCTGGTGGTACTATTCAGGAAATAGGGCCTAACTCAGATAACTGACAGATGCCCCTGAAGGAAATAGTGGGGCTATTGGCCCCTTCCTATTTCCCTCCGCTTCCTGTTTTCTATGAGGTAAGTAGTTATGCTACACCATGTACACCCTACCCCCTGGCCCCCAAAGCTAAGGAAGGTCCTCAAAGATGAATGAAAACCTCTGAATTTGTGAGGCACAATACTGTTTTCTTCTTTTAGGTTTATCTCCTCAGGCATCTGGACCGGTCATAACAAAAAGAGAGAGGGATCCAACCAACAGCCCATAGGCAATGAGTCCTGCAACAACCGTGAGTGAACTTGGAAGAAACCTTCCATAACCAAGGCTTGGGAGGAGACCAGCAATGTACAAAAAAGAATGAAGGGAACAGGCTAGACTATGGCTCACAGAGAGCTCACATTCCAGAAAAAAAAGAGGTGAATATGGCTCACAGAGAGCTCACATTCCAGAAAAAAAGAGGTGAACTACAGGTTTTGGATTCTAAAACCATGAACTTGGACCACATCTCATGAGCTTACTTAGGACTTTCAACCTCCTGCAGTCTGGCTTCTCAAATGCAGAAGAGGATGAAAGCAACCGCATGCCTACAAGCTGCAAGGACCCCAGTGTCTTAAGAGCTAGGTACCATTGGATACGGAATCATGATAACCTTTCATTCAATTAGAAACTTTTAAAAATGAATAAAGACGAAAGAGCATATCCCACATATGTGAAATACCAACAGCAGTAAACAAATTGCATAGATACATGCAAAAAGGAAAGAAGCTGGCGTGCTATTGTTTGGTCCTAGAAATTACATTGTTAGAAATATTCATCACTTTCTGCAGTTTAGTTTTCTGAAACTATGTTCTGCTTCCTCAATGAAGAAAAAGCTCAGTCTGGGGCTGGTGAGATGGTTCAGCAGGTAAAGGCACCTGCCGTCAGGCTTGAAAACTGAGTTTAATCTCTGGGACCCACATAGTGAGAGAGAACTGATCCTTACAAGCTGTCCTCTCATCTCCACATGCACCCTCCAACCTGTACACACATGCGTGCATGCACACACACGTCTTTCTGCTCAGGTGACTCAGTTTTTCATTTCTTGACTTGACTGATTTGATCTCATTTGCTGTAAATGTCTCCCTATGTGTCTTAATCCATGCAACTTAAAGATAAGATCATTTACCTTTTTCTAATCATCTAATCTGTCTGGGAGGTAACCTATTTATCCACAGTGACAGATATCAGACAGCTAAACACAGCAGAAGAGAACCTGGGCCTGTGTGTCTTTTAAATGTTCAAGCCCTAGCAGGCCTGCTCCATCGGTGGCACAAGGGCCACATGTGGCCCAACACAAAATCATAAACTTACTCAAAACATGAGATTTACTTTAGGAAAAATTTTAAGTTGAATTGTGCAGTTCTGGAGTGTGAACTTTGTAGTTAATAGTGTTATTTCACAACGTCAAGTTTCGATACACTTAGAGCAACTTTGAGGGGCGATGTTACGGAGCTGCCAGCCCCATGCTGAGGCCCAGGGTCGACGGCTGGTGACTTGTTAGAGAACAAATGAGCTCACTACCTAGTATCTACAGGGCTACTTGGATTCCTTCCCTCTATGCATCCTGAAGTGTCTAGATTCCTGTGATAGGATGTATCTGCCATAAGAGATTAAGCCAAGAACCATGCAAGTGGCATTCAGAAAATGCCTACTTTATTATATTTGAAATTGATTTTAACCCTTTGCCCAATCCCCAAGATTCACACAATTTAGTAGCTACAATCAAGTATGCTTTAGGAAGAAGTACATGTTACGATAAGCCTTGCATGAGAGTGTCCTGAAAGCTGTGGGAAATCCATCAAGGAGTAAGTGCAGATGGCATACTTACAACCACTGTGGACCTCTCCCCACTTACCCTCATCTTTCCACACCTTTCTGCAGGACCGTCCTCTGCTAAGCGCAGAACATAGAGGTCCATATTATACTCTCGACCTCCTCGAAGACTAAAGCCAAACCCCTTGGCTCCTCTTTCCAGTTCCACAGTGTAAAAATCTTGCTCCTGTTTCAAGAAATCAAATGTAATCATTCTGGAAGAATTTAGATCTATACACATTCTCTTTAGCTCTTCCCAAATATTTTTTATTATAGTGATTTTGCAAAAGGGCAGTCTCTAGCCACACCCTCTCTCAATGACTCTTGGCTATTAATCATTTTCATTAATCTTCATTCATATAGGGAGTTATGAATTTGTAAACATTCATGAGCATGCTTACATGCATGCATGTATTACAATTCAGTGATGCTGCAATTTACATTTGGTGCAGGAAAACTCTTTGTTGCATGAGACCGACCATTTGTTGCTAGGATGCTAGATGTTTACCTTCCTTGACTCGTACCTGATAAATGCTAGTGGTGCCCAATGCTAGCCTGTGCATTCGGGGGGTAGGGGGCAGTTCCCATCTCGTTTGGGGAAAATCACGAATATACGACTAAAGGTGAGGCCATAAAAAATTTTAACTTTGCATTACCCATTGTTTCTCAAATGTCTTTCACTGGCTGTTGTTCATACATTTCCAACCTGAGGGGTAGGACTTTCACTCTATGGTCTCACCAGAAATTCACTAGCCTGAGAAACATCTTCCATAAAAAGACATTGTTCTCAGCAGAAAGAGGAGTTTGAAAACTGAGAAGATGTGTTTGCAGCTTTGTTTCTCTGATCATTGAGTCTCATGACAGTCTTTCTTGCTTTCCCCTTAGAAAAGGATATCTAAGAATTTTTTTCAAAGGCAGTGAAAATAAAATGTCATTTTCTAGACAATCCAATGTAAGAACACATCTGGTAAATCGCCTCACAAAAGACTTTATTTTCAAATAAGGATTCTTAAAAAAAAAATTTCATAAAAATAGCTTCAGAAAGTTAGAAAGAACTGAGTAAGATGTACAGAGAAAAAATGTGAAACAGCTCTTACCTGTGTAGTCTGGGGGCCTTTGAATTCAAACTGAGAATCTGGCTTTGGTTTGGTGGTGTTCCTGCCAAAGCGAGAGACATAAATATAACAGTAATCCAAGAAGAAAACACACAAAAAGGGAAGACATGTATTAATCATGTCACCGGCTACTTTAGCCTTTTAAAAGTCACAACAAAACAAAAAAACCCAAGCCACATCTGACCTTGTTTCCTGGGCCCCCTGCTGAGAAGGGGCGTGTGTGGTGGTGATGGTGGCAATCTTTTCAGCATTGGTCAGCAGGGTGGCATTTGAGGACTCTGTAGGGCAGAGCATAAAGACATGAAGGCTTTAGAGAAGATGTCATCCAACTGTGAGGCATGCAGAAACCCTGGATCTAAATGATGGGACTCCTCTGTCCCCAGTTCAAATAGTGGACTGAAATTGCTAAATAATCAAGAGTTCAATGAACCGAACTCTTTTTCTTACGGGGACCAGGGATGCCCCATGACTCTCCTCCCTACCAGACAGTCCCCATAAATACAATGCAGAGCTTGTGAAAATAAATGCTGCTCTGTAATTCCAGTTGACAGTGTCTCGCTCCTCTCTTGCCACTTAATGGTGCAGATGCCATCAAAGCATTACGCCACATTGGAGTTCGTTTTAAGAATTTTACAGGTTGATAATAAATGCCTTTGCTAACACTTCTTGCAATTTGTCAGCTGTATTTGGTGAGTCTGCTTGATTTCCTCATGTGAATACTAAAATCAGAAGTGTTCTATAACATCTTGTTAAACACACACACAGAATACCCACTTTCTTCCCCATTGTTTTTAATGGAGCCCAACTGAAAAGATGGAACTCTTGACAAATCTCGTCTAGTATCTCTCATGAAAGATTAATTTTTAAACTTGCATTAGAGGAACCAGAGTTTGTAAATATAAGTCATATAAATCATGAAGTCACCTTAATGTAATGAATATGATTATACTCGCATGTAAATTGACTTTCTTCTCTACTAATCAAATTCATAAGCAACTTCATTAATCTCTAGAAGTTTGGAGACTCAGAATCTGGAAACACTCAAGGTGTAACTATATACTGCATGCCCGGATCCATGTAAAGTTTAATTACTCATGTAGTAATGGTTATATGCTCTTTTACTAATCATTTCTCTATTTAGATCAAGGCAGGTAGCAACCAGGCATGAGGAAGTCATACTTTGAATGTTTATTTTTAAATTGACTCTTTGGAACTTGGCGTACATTTTCTAATCAGAAAAAAACGCTAACTGTGGTGGTAAAATTCTACAATTAGTTTGTAAATGCCCATTTAATTCATGGAGCACTTTAAAGTCTTGAAGTTCCCATGAGTCCTATGATTCATAGCAAGCAGTTGAATGTTGGCTGAATACTGGTATCAATCCACCAGGCACAATAAGGTTTCTATGGGAAAATATTTTGGACTGTATCTTCACTGCATTCCCAGAATGACAGACAGCCCAGTTATCCCAAATGCTTGTACTCTATCTTCCAGTTTAATTTCCTAAGGATATTACTCAGCTTGTGTCTGGCCTCCTGGTATCTTACTTTTCATTATACGCCAAGCACAGGTTTGAGATTTCAGACCCAGGTTCAAATCATCTTTCCATACTCACTAGTCATATACTTTGCTTTTCTTATCTGGTAAAAGCAGGTAGCAACAGCGATTCCCTTCCCATGGATAAAGGGACAGGATGTGTTTAGTTGTGTGCTGAACATGTATGCAGTGAATACCCAGTGCCCATTTCCTCCTTTGGGCCTTATTCCTACTAACAAGTTTTTTTATTTCTATGGGAACTTCTTAAAGTTATTTAAACTCTCTGCAAAATGAGAAAGTTTAAAGGGATTTTTACAGTTTCTATTCCAGCCCTGATAGTTCATTATTTCCATAGTCAAAGCACAAAATTAATAAAATCTAACTAGCTCAAGAGATTATTTTTGAATCCTCGTTGTGTTTTAGGACAATGCTACCGACATCGGTTTGTGTAGATTCTAGGGAAGAATGCTGTCATTTAGGAATGGATAGGTGGAACAATGGGGAATGTGTCTATGAGTGTTGCTTGTTTGTTCACATGGACTCCTTAGATCCTTTACTGGGCCAGTGTGCCTTGAGTGGGGAAGTGGTGCTTTCCATTAACAGGAAGCAGTTTCTCAGTGGTTACAAGGTCAGACTGTGGAGTCGTACCATCTTGTGCTGAGTCGTAGACTCTGTAACTTACTGGGACTTAAGTAAAGTGACTTACTTAAGTCACTTTTTGGTACTTCAGTTTCCTCACTTGCGCATGGGGAACAACAGAAGTCTCTAGGGAAATGGGTGCAACATTTATAAGTGAATCATAAGCAGGATGGTGCCTGAGAGGCAAATACTGGTCAAAATGATGAGGCTACTTGGAACATTTGTTGTTACTACACATTACCACCATCATTATTATTATGAGTATATTGGTGATTTTTAATGACTTTTGGTAATATTTTTCAGAGGAACACTAGCTCATTCACATCACTTCTGTGTAAGGGCAGCTAACTTGAGAACCAAGGTGACTGTGTAACTAGCATTCAGTAAAGCAAGTTCACTGTGCCACAAGAAGACACACGGCACAGGCACTGTTTTTTTTTTGTTTGTTTGTTTTTTTTAAACACACTCCATACTGCTTAGTGTCATTCACTTTATAAAGATTATTTGGGAAATTAGAAGAGTGTTTGGGCCATGGGAGAATAACTGAACAGTAAGAGGATGTTCACTTATAACTAAAGTGATTGTAACTACTGAATTGTGCAGAGGACCTCCTTTAGAATGTTTGTTGGTGGCCAGCATTTTCTAGGTACATCAAATCCTATCCTCAATCAGTTTTTATATTTCTGTTGCTTTCATGATTTGATGACATATAATAGATATTCACTCACTATACATATAAAGAGAATGCCAATGCCATCAATAATTTTTTCCTATCCTTTACTTGTAAATTACATTTACATGCAAATCTTTTGGGTGCTGAAGCTTAACTTTAAGCATTAAAAAATAATTAGCATTTAATATGCTAATTTGAGTTTGATGAATTTTCCTCGTTCTGTTATTTGTCTCACTATTTAGTTTATACTGTGCCTTAGACCACTATACTATGAATTACTTTTGATTCTTATTCCTCCAAAAAAACAGATGCAATTAGTGTCTCACTTTACAGATGTAGATACTGAGGCACAGAAAGGTAAATAATATGCCTAAGTTCACTCAATAAGCACATGGAGATGCTGAGAATTAAGCTCAGGACCTGCCCAACAGTTCATTTTCAGTCTTATTTTTAATATGGTAATTAATATCAAGAAAATCATACCCAATTGGTGCATTCCTTTCAAGTAAGCAATGTTTTAATTTTATTGTGGACTACCACCAACTTCAGTAATCAGTATCATTGATTAATTAAAAATACAACACATCAGCTTTATCTACTGGATTTTGCAGGCTATTTTCAGTGCACCAAAATAACTTTTAGTATGCCCTTGATTTCCAGTATGCTTTTATACTACCAATAAAGTTATGCTTATTTTTATAAACATCTAAGTCTTCATTTGGAATTAAACCAAGATTGTATCTGATGAATACTCTTACTTTCTAAAATACAGAGATGAAGACCATTATCAAAAATTTATAGCTCTCTCCCCGAAGCAAACTCTGCCTTGTAGCATAGAAGAAATATCAAAGGGCCTGAAACAAGACTATGTGTCTCCTTGCCCCTCAGCAACAATAGTATAAAGGGGTGTCACTGCATGCAGCTTTTAAAGTACCAAGGCAGACGAGCAGGTTGGATATTTGTGACAAATTCTAGAAAATACCATATCCTTTATTAAACAGTGTTTACATCTACTTTAGTTCTCCCTGAGGAGTGAAAATGTATATTACTATACTTTTCATGGCAATCGTGCATCAAGAAAAGCAAACCCAAGCTCTCAGGGCCCTGGAGAGAGGCTATTCTAAAGCAGGGCACTTACTCTTCTGACAAGTGCATCTACCTCTGTGGCAAGTGGTTACCATTCTAACCCCATCCCCCTGCTAATATTCTTCCCTTCCATACTTGCGGAATCTACATTGACGAGTCAAACAAATCAACAAAGGATACAACAATCTCTTTCATAAATATTTTAACGTGTAAACACCTATGTGGTAAATATCTGAAGACAATTGTGGAAAATTTGAATCCTATGAATACGTGAAAACTTTTGGGAGATTTTCTATTCTATATCCTCGCCAAAGAAACAACAGAAGTGGTGGCGCCAAGCTCTAGCTCCCTTAGAAGCAAATACTTTGAATGACAGTGAGATGAAGTACAATTTACATTTTTAAGCTCATATTTTGTTTTTCTTGAACTTGATTAATTAGCCTAACTCAGTAAGGTTCTACTTTGTCTAATTAAAGTCTTACTCCCACTTAGACTACATGGACATCTTCATGCAATGCAAATATGGCTTGGCTGGTGAAAATTCAAGCTCAGATTCAATATGTTCAGCTATCTTCTAGGCCCTTCTGTGCTGCCATTATATATTTACTATCTCTTGCTCATATGCCATAGAAGACTTTCCACCCCGCCTCCCCCCACCAAACATAGAAAAGACAGAGGTAAAGACTCAAGATCTGTAAAGGTGGGCTTTACAACAACAGAATAATATCTGATAAAGGGGGGAGGGGTTGTATCTTGGGAGTTTATTGAATGGTTGAGAGAGAAAGGGGCGGGGAAGCAGGTGAGGGAAATTAAGGGAGACTAGAGAAAGAAGGAGGCATCCAATGACAAAGAAAGAATTAGGCAGGATGAACTAAAGAAGTAGAATCATCCAGGGTGGTAGTATACACCTGTGACCCCAGTACTCCAGTACTCAGGAGGTTGAGGCAGGAGGCTCTCAAAGCTAGAGGCATCCTGGGCTATAGAGTGAGACCTTGTCCCCAGACAAAAACAAAAGCAAATAAGCAAACTGCCAAAACCAAAGAAATGGATCCAAGGGGGCTTCTAAGCACTGCCATACAATATTAACTATTAATGGTCTTGCAGTGTGTAGCTTAGAGTTCTAAGAGCTTGGAAACATTCTGGTTAAAAAAATTTCAACTTCTTTGAAGATACCTCAGAACAACTGGTCGTAAAGCTATTTAGTGAAGTAAATGTTAGAATGAGAGATCTGAAGGAGACCAGAGTTCTCTAACCTGAAGAGCATCTCCCTTTATTCTACATCCAACCACGCCCAGCACACTTATGTGAATAAGGGAGATGCATCCAGCCAGGTTTTCTCCCATCAGACTGCTGTGCTCACTCTTTTCCTTTGACATGCTTGCAATACTCTCCAGGATGACTCCTGCATCTCCCCAGGAATCTAAGTTCCGTTTCAGTTCCAATTTCAGCTCCTTTAATGCATGAGAAAAATACATACTTCCTCTCTGCCAGGTGTGACTGCCATTACCTGGCCTGACACAAAGTCACTGGCAGAATTTTTATTATCATGGCAATGACTTCCTGAAACATTTTGGATAAAAATCACGTCCTCAAACAATATACACTGACTTAAAAATATGAATCCTCACTCTGTTATGCCAAATTCATGTCTATTTTCTTTTAATAAAAAAGAACATAGAGTGTCTACCTGAATTTTATATTTAAGTATTGGTTTTAAAAAATGCCTTTTTATTGACAGCTGCTAATGGACAATCTACTATATATTGTATTTTTTGGTTGGTATTCAGGTTTTCAGAAAGTTTACTGGACATTATTAAGCTGATTCTTGATATGTACACAATAGTATAAGTTGCTTCTGTGTGTGTATATAATATAATTTTCCTGATTTCAAACTGTTTCTAAGCATTTGCTCGAGGACTTCTTTCCTTTTGGGGACATTCTTGTCCCCAAATTTAGACTGTCCAATGTAGAGTGCTAAGTCAATTCCTGTGCCCTGTTCTTTTTGATTTGTTTTTAATATCTTTCCATGACATGTAACCTAAAATTATACATTATCATTTTCCTCTCTGAGCCACTTCTCACTTCATTTTTCTGGCTCCTCTTATCCTTTTCATTTGGAATCTGGGTTCTACCATCTTATGATCTCTTTTATAAATTGTAGTAGCTTTCCAGAGTGGCAAAGTAGTGGTGTGGTTCCCACACCAGATGGTGAATGACTACCCAGGCATTCGAAAGAGGGTAAACTAGACTGTCATTTAAAGAGCTGTCTGGTCCCCCCCCCCCAATT